GGAAGCCTCCGTGTCCGGCTGCATTGTGGGGACAGGCGCTGGGCTGCGATCGCTCCTGGCTTGCAGCAGCCCCCAGGCACGGCCATTGGGCTCATTTCCTGCGTTTTTGGTTCCAAATGCTGGCAGTGCTGTGGCAGTTTGTGCAAAGGGCCAGGGGGAGTTTCTCTTGCTTGACCCGGTGGCTGAGGTGGCCGCACAGGAGCGGGGCTGGACCCAGGGCCACCGTTTGGGTTGCGCAGGATCCGTGCCCGGCTCAAGGGCACCTTCCCTCTGCTTCGAACCTGCCTCGTGCCAGCGTCGTCGGAACCTCTCCCTGCCCCGAAACTGGAGCCAGGGGCGGTAAAAATGCAACCTGCAGCCAGGATGAGCTGCAGCTCGCGCAGGAGAGTCCCCCCAAGGGCCGGCGGCGCAAGGGGCTGCCGGAGACGTGGCTACCGGCCGGTGCAAATGGGCCACCAGCCCCAGCAAGGTGAAACTGAGCTGTCCTGTTAGCCAGGCTCCGGTGAGAGCTGTGCCGTGGGCTGGCCACGTTTTATGCACTGCATCCTCGCCCTGGGCGCTTACCAGGAGAGTTAGCGAGGCCAAAGGTGGCTCCTCACGCTATGGCACATAAATGCATGTATCAAGCAGGAGGGAAGGCTGGCAGCTCCTGCCTGGCAATACAGTGCTGGCGGGGATGCGGGTACTGTCGCCATCTCCCTCATGAGCATCTCCCTGCGCCGACCCCGCTGCTCCTCCTTCCCAGGGATGCTCGGGCAGAGGCTCCGGCCGGGAAGGGGCAGTGCCCTGGGGCTGGGGTGCAGGGCTGGCGCGGGGCCGGGTGCGATGGGCTCTGTGCGTCCCCGCAGGCACGCGGCGGCGGACATGGGCAGAGCCACCCTGCTGCTGTGGATGGTGCTGGGCTGCTCGGCCGTCTTCACCGACATCCTGCTGCCCGGCCCCGAGGAGCCCGTGGTCACCGTGGCCGTGGTGTTCGGGGGCACCTCCTACCCGCTGCACATCCGCTCCCGCCTGAGCCCCCAGAGCTTCCTGGACATGCCCCTGGAGATCCGCCCCATCACGGTGGTGGTGAACAACACCAACCCCAGCACCCTGCTCACCCAGATCTGCAACGTCCTCGCCAGCCACAAGATCCACGGCATCGTCTTCGAGGACAACGTGGGGACGGAGGCCGTGGCCCAGATCCTGGACTTCATCTCCTCGCAGACGCAGGTGCCTGTCATCAGCATCAGCGGGGGCTCTGCCGTGGTCCTCACCCCCAAGGTGAGATGTCCTCCTGCTCCTGCCGCCTTCCCTGGCTTTGGTGGCCCCTCTCTGCGTGGCGAGTTTGCATTTGGGCTGCGGGGCCCCGTTTGAGGGCTGTCCTCCTCTTCCCGACCCGCCTCGCAGATCCCCTTCCCCCCAGCACCGAATCCCACGGGATTCACCCGCTCCGGGTGGAACGATGCTCCGACGGCGATGGAGGCCGTCGGCACGGCAGAGCGCGGCTGCCTTTTCGCGACCTTCTGCAAATGCCGTTCAGTGAATCATTTAAGACGGAACCAGATCAATTAAGATTTGCTAATGAGAGGCCAGATGGCCGGGGAGGGGGGTGGGAGGGAGGCGCAGCTGAGGGGCTCCGGGAGCAGCTCACGGGCCAGAGGCGGGAAGGGGATTTATTTGCCCTGCAGAGTATCTGCTGCCTCCTTGCTCCCGTGATTTAAAGGGAAATTATTGGTGTGCTCTGGAAACTGCTGGAGGAATTTTGGTCAAAAAGTGAGAAGAAAACCAGGAAAAATGGCAGGGAGAAGAAGCCGCAGAGCATGGGGACACCTTGATCCTATTTTTGGTGCCTCCAGCAGCCCTCAGTCCCCCGAGCTCCTCTCGGTGGCAAGTTCAAGGTTCGAGGGGCGCGAGGAGCCCCGGGCACAGGGCCCTGGGTCCCTCAGCCCTTCTGCACCCCAGCAGCCCCGTCTCCTCCCACAGGAGCCCGGCTCGGCCTTCCTGCAGCTCGGCGTCTCCATCGAGCAGCAAATCCAGGTGATCTTCAAGGTGCTGGAGGAGTACGACTGGGGCTCCTTCGCCGTCATCACCAGCCTCTATCCGGGCTACAACATCTTCCTGGACGTCATCCGCTCCTTCACGGACGCCAGCTACTTCGGCTGGGAGCTGCAGGACGTGCTCACCCTGGAGATGAGCGCGGAGCAGAGCGGCTCGCGCGCGCAGCGGCTCCTGCGGCAGCTCGACGCCCAGGTGCTCCTGGTGTACTGCTCGCGCCAGGAGGCCGAGTTCCTCTTCGCCGTGGCGGAGCAGGCCGGCCTGGTGGGGCCGGGCTACGTGTGGATCCGGGCCCCGCCGCCGGGG